TGAGCACAGGCCCTTGCAACGCTCCCCCACGAAAGCGGTTGGGAGCCCTTTTCAGAGTCACCGCTCGGGAAGCCGGGTGCGAAGCTCAAGCATCGTGCAAGGTGAAAAAATCAGGGCGGTGGACGACATGTCTGAGTTTCTCATCAATGCATCTGTTTCCACGTCGGAGAGGATTTCTCTCGAGGGCCTTGACGAAGTAGTTGCAACCAGCAGGTTTTTTCTGGGAGCCTTGCAAGGGAAGGGAATGGCGTCGATTCCGCAAGCGGACGGTGGGGTCAGACGTGTTCCGGTGCACGAGGCGTGGAGCTCCAGAGATGTGAGCGATTTATTTGGCCGGGCACTGGACCTGAAGTCCGCGTACAAACAGCTGGCCCGCCATCCCAACGATGCGTGGGCTTCCATTCTGGCGGCGTACGATCCGGCAAGTGACGCAGTGAAGTTCTTCAAGGCAGTGGCCTTGCCGTTCGGTTCGGTAAGCTCAGTTCTTGCCTTTAACAGAGCGGCGAGAGCATTGAGAATGATTCTCAGCAGGCTTTTCATGTTGGTGAACACGAACTTCTTCGATGATTTTTGCCAGATGGAGACAGCCGTCCTCCAAGAGTCAGCGCACAAAACGGCGGAAACGGTGATGCAGTTGCTGGGCTGGACTATCTCCACGTCCGAGTCAAAGCGTAAGCCTTTCAGAAAGGTTTTTGACATGCTGGGAGCGACAATTTCATTTGAAGAGAGCGTTTCAGGAGTCGTGATCGTCAGCAACAAGGAAGGTCGCCTGGCTGACATTCGTTCCCTGGCAGAAGAGCTGTGCTCTGAAGGTGCATGCAGTTCATCCAAGCTCGCATCCTTGAAAGGACGCCTTCTTTACGCTGCAGGGCACACAATGGGCAGGTGCTCGCAGTTGGCCATCCAACTGATAGGTATCGCAGTCAAAGAGCAGGGTGAACTTGTTCTCTCACACACCGTCAAGCAAGCAATTGCTTACGCGGTTGCTACCTTGTCTGCCGCGCCTCCGAGGAGGGTGCAGCCATGGTCCACTGATATGCCTATTGTTGTTTTTACAGACGGCGCTTGTGAGGACGAGCTGGCGTCGGTCACGCACGGGGCCGTGGTGTATATCCCTGGCAGGAGAAAGCGTTTGGTTTTCGGAGATGCAGTGCCCAGACAGTTTGTCGACTTTTGGGCCCGGAACGGCAAGAAGCAGGTGATATGCCAGGCTGAGCTTTTCCCAATCAATGTTGTCAAGAACACATTTGCAGATTTGCTCGCAGGCAGGAGCGTTTTGTGGTTTTGCGACAACGAGGCAGCAAGATCTGCGCTGGTAAAGAGTTACTCCCCGATCCTCCACAACTTTAACCTGTTAATGCAGAGTGCTGAACTTGACCTGAAGCTGGGCCTGACTAACTGGTACTCTAGGGTCCCTTCTTCGAGCAACATAGCAGATGCGGCATCACGGTTGAAGTGGGATGAATATCCAAGAGAAGACTTTGAGATTGTTTCACCCTCGTACGAAGGCCTTCCCGTGGAGTTGTCAAGATCATAGAGGGGAGGGTGGCACGTGAAGGCAAAGGCTGAACCGTGTGAAGAGAAGCCTTCGATGGACCTCCCCGATCTTTGGCACACACGAGAAAGAAAAGGCGTGAGACCTTGACTGCAGTTCATTTGCATGTGTTCAGTTTCTTTTTGCACCTAACGGATCACGCCGACCTCGTGGCCCAAGTTTGGTGGTGCTGGGCGCCCTTTGAGTTTTTTCTTTCTTATGACCATCCGTACAATTGTAGTGTTTCTTGTTTGGGTCAGGTGTGGGCGTAGGAGTAAGTGGGATGTCACTTGTGACGATACTTTACCATGAAGACCACTCCTGAAGTCATGAGAGCATGACGCCGCAAACAGGAACGTTTGACTCCGGCTTGCTTGCCTTGTCTTTTTTTTGGGTAAGCCTTGGAGCTCCAGAAAAGCGGTGCACACGCGCCGGCGTGCTATGTGCACGCAAGTGGCAGTGCCAGGAAAGGATCCATTGAGTTTTGACACTTGGATTTTGCAGAACTTGGCGGAACGAGTTTGATTTTTGACCGAACATATTTGAACACAAACAGGACGCACCCGTTTGCCGATCTTCGCATGTGAGCATGGGTTGCTGGATGCTGACGTTTGGCGTCGACCCGCCCGCCCAACCCACACCGGCACGTGAAGGCAAAGGCTGAACCGTGTGAAGAGAAGCCTTCGATGGACCTCCCCGATCTTTGGCACACACGAGAAAGAAAAGGCGTGAGACCTTGACTGCAGTTCATTTGCATGTGTTCAGTTTCTTTTTGCACCTAACGGATCACGCCGACCTCGTGGCCCAAGTTTGGTGGTGCTGGGCGCCCTTTGAGTTTTTTCTTTCTTATGACCATCCGTACAATTGTAGTGTTTCTTGTTTGGGTCAGGTGTGGGCGTAGGAGTAAGACAATGTTGTGAGGCCCGGGGACCCTCAGTTGTAAGAATTCGAGCCTTATGGGGAAGGCTGTACTGTTCGCTGAGTACGTGGGTCTGCTTGTGGATTGGTGCCATGGTTTGTGGCCTGAGACTGTGGTGCCGCCAGTGCCTGTGGTGTGATGTCCGCAGCGGCACATGCCCGTGCGTAATGTCGTACCCCTTTTTAAGTCCCTGTGTGCTCGTGATCATTTGTGCAGTGTGCAATGACATGTGCAGGGCCCGTGAGCCAGTGGTGCCCGTGATGTCCGTGATGCCCGTGGTGCTCGTGAGCCCGTGCCCGCGTTGCGCGTGTGCCCCTGCCCGTGCTGCCCGTGCTGCCCGTGCTGCCCGTGGTGCCCGTGGTGCCCGTGAGCCCGTGCCAGTGCTGCCCGTGGTGCCCGTGCCAGTACTGCCCGTGGTGCCCGTGCCAGTGCTGCCCGTGCTGCCCGTGGTGCCCATGGTGCCCGTGAGCCCGTGCCGTGGTGCCCGTGAGCTGTGCGTGCTGCCCGTGAAGCCCGTGGTCCTTAAGCGTACCGATCTCGAAACCCAGAAGGGCTGGCGCAGAGCAACTTGCATGCAGCAACTTGCACAACAACTTGCGCAAGGCAACTTTCCAAAACCACCTTGTGCGGAGCAACTTGCAACTTTCGAGCCGGAGCTCCGGGATTGTACTTCGAGCGTTACCTTTGGTCTTGAAATTTGCGACTTTCGAACCGGGAGTGTACTTCCAGCACTGCTTTCGCAAGATTTCCATTGCTATTGAAGGAGACTTTTTTCAATGATTTCTTTCCGATTTTGAATTTCGTACATTCAATACAAAGTTCCAGAAAGAGTCGAATCAGTAGAAAAAAAGGTCACCACTCCAAGGAGAAGTCAACAGAGGAACCAACAGAAACACTTGTGTCCTCTGCCCCCTCGCAGATAAGGACTGGGCCCGGCGGTAACAGGGTACTTTTGGGTGACCTTTCGCTTTGGCAGCCGGAGAAAGGCTTGGAACAAATTGAGCAGGACTCCCGCGTCGGAAAATCCCTGACAAAAGGTCGGCCTTATTATCAATATTTTCAATCTTTACAAGATATCATGCAATAAAGTGAAGGGTTAGAGTTGCCTTGTCCTTCCCTTGTCGTTTCAATCGCGACTTTGGGGCTTCGCTGGCTCTGGTTGCCGCTGTTTCTTGCTAGCCACTGCTTATGCGCCACGCCGACACAACAAGACGCGGAGAGCCGGTGTTGCCTTATAATTTGCATTAGCGAGTGCGCACGTCACAAGCCCCAGTTGCAAACGGGCAAATGGGGACACGCAATCGCTTCCCTTTCGCAAATTCAAGCCTTGACAAGGGCAGGATGTGCAGGGCTGGTGCCGCGTCTGCCCCGCTCTCATGGTGCCTCATGCCGCAAGGTAAACATTGTGCGTGGGCATGGCCGCAGGACGACCAGGCCTGATTTGCACATCGGTTTCATAGGATACCTCGCTTCCCCAAAGTCTCCCACGCTGGCTTCAAACATGGCGGGAAGGGTTTCATCAGGGCCTCAGTTGTGGCGCAGAGAAGAGGTGTCTCGATCCCGTGGCGTCATGTCCAGGCTTGCCGTGCGCAGCGGTCGAGTTTGTATGACGCGATGCAGCTGGCAGAGGCTCGGGTCGTGTGTGTTTTCAAGTTCGGCCCTTGTGGCTGCCGTGGGGAATTCGTCCACTGTTCCAAGGATAAAAGGAGTTTGGCCTTTGCTGTTGCGTCAGGATGCGTCGGTCTGTTGTTGCAGTTGCACCCAACCTATGAGCAGCAATGACGCCGTATGACGTTAAGGCAGTTTCTTTGTCCCCTTGCAGGTTGGTCGGGCAAGGAGCGCGAGGGGCTCCAGGTCCACTACATGTCAAGAATGCGACATGAATTACGTGCAAACCGTTCCCCAGACTTTGCTCTGCATTTGCAGGACACGATCCAGCGACTTTCTAGAGGTTGGCATTCCGCAGAGATCGTTGACAACATCCTTCAAGGCGATTTGTTTGGCCCGCGCCAAGAGTGTTTTTGCGTCCTCGTGTGGTGGGACATGCGCGATGTTGAGCTGTGGACACAGACGCTGATACCGGCAATTGACGGAGCTCATTGCAGGATGAGGTGGTTGAGGAAAGGGACTGCGGGAACCTGCCTCAGAAGGGCTCAGAAGTGCGCGTTTTGAAACATATGTTTGCGGGGTTGCAGCCATCGAATACTGGCCTTGTGCCATCCTTTCAGGCTTTCAGATGAATTAAATGCATTGGCACCAGTGTCCAAGAGCAATGCGTTGCACCTGCCACAGGCACAGCCATCTCAAAGATTATTTACAGGGATTAGCTTCTTACGAGCAGAATCCAAGCGTCTCCTCTCAGAACATCTTCAATTTTCTGAACAGTGTCCCCCAGCGGGCCAAAAAAGCAGGTACTGCCTTCCTAGAGCCTAACACAGTCCGTCCTCGGCGGTCAATCACTCAATAAAAAGGCTGCGAAGAAAGCAGTGTCAATGCGTCCACTCCCCTCGTTTGATTGTGAGCGTTTGTATGCTGGTTGCCGTTGTGAGGTTCAAAACAAATTAGGGCAGGGATGGAACCTCGAAGCAATGAGCGACACGCAACGGATCTTTGTGTCCATTGCGAGCTACCGAGACAGCCAATGCCAGTATACCATCCAGGACCTGTTCCAAAAAGCGAAGTCACCGGGACGAGTCGTGGTCGGGGTTTGCTTCCAAGTCGCACCGGAGGATGCAGATAACTTTTTAATTGACCTCAACCCATGGTGCAAGCAAATCCGGACTTGCTTTCTCCCGCACCGAGAGGCAAAAGGACCGTGCTATGCGCGATGGCTCATACAACAAGAGCTTTTCCAGGATGAATGCTACTACTTTCAGATCGACAGCCACATGCGCTTTGTGCAGGATTGGGACGATATTTGCTTGGAGCAGTTGGAAGCTTGTTCGAATCCAGAAAGGGGCATACTCACCACATATGGCTCCAGCTACACTCTACCAAGGGACTACATGCCTGGTGGGCCAGACGTGGCGGAATTGGCGCCCAACAAGGCACTGCCGATCTTGTGCGCAGATGTGTTTGAAGACGGTGACGACCCTTTTCTTCGGATCAAGTCCCGCAGCAGTCGCACGGATTTTGGCCACGCCCCGCCTCCGGCGCTGTTTTGGACCGCACGCTTCGCTTTCAGCCCTGGCAGCGTAGTGCGGGAGGTCCCGTACGACCCCCACCTTGAATACGTGTTTTTTGGCGAGGAGATTTCCATGGCGGCCAGACTTTGGACCTCAGGTTGGGATTTCTTCAACCCATCGCGGGAGATCGCCTACCACTTGGCCAGTCGAGCCCACCGATATTGGTTCCGCGAGGTGCAGACTGGACAGCATCAAAGGACCATGGAGGAGCAGGGGAAGTTCCGGATTTGCGGCATGCTCGGCACGGAGTGGCAAGGTGTGCCAAGCTCAAAACATCCCCTCCACTACTCCAAGAAGGGACGGTCCCCCTCTACTTACTAGGCCTTTGGGGGTTGGGGACAGGCCTAAGGAGTTTAGACCATGGCATTCTATTAGACCAATGCAAGGCTTCCTAGGGAGTTTTGACAGGTCTTCACCAAGCGCCCGAGCGCCCTTACGGCCTGGGCCTGGTGCGGACGCTGACGGAGTACGAGGCCTTCGCGGGCGTCGACTTCAGCGGTCGGAGGCTCGATGCGCGCGCGCGGCTGGGAGGGCAACGCCCCGAGGTCTTTGGGCCGACGTGGGCCGATGAGCAGAGGGAGGGCCTCTTGCGGTCGGCTCAGCTCAAGGATGTTCAGAGTTGGGCTGGGAAGGGTGCAGACGCCCAAAAGGCCCAAGTCCCACAGCAAGCGAAGGGAGAGGATGAGAGGCCCAGGGCCTTGGCACGGCTGCGGATTCATTCCTTGCGATCGCAGCCCGACAGCGGACTCGTGCAACTGGAGCTCTGCAAAGCCTTGGCCGCCCTGGCAGAGCTGGAGGCGAGCAGCGGGCAAACTCATGCTGCGGATGCCGCATGCAAGCAGGCGGAGCTGCATTTACGGAATGCCAAGGCGGATGGAGATGACTTGCGGGCTTCTTGCTGTTTGGCAGAAGCCATGGTGAGAATGAGCCAAGGCAGCTTTGATGTTGCCAAGCGCCTGCTACATCAAAGCCTGCAGTATGTCGCGCAGGCCTTCAGCCAGGAAGCACTGCAGCTGGCTTGTGAGATAGTCGAGGCGATCCACACGGTGCATGAGAGAACTGACGACCGCAAGGGCCTGCGCGTTTTTCACGAGGGCCTTAAATGCTTGCTAGGTGCGATTCGGGCACTAGATCCCGAGCCGTGCCAAGAAGTGCCGCAGCTCACAGCAAATCACTCGCCGCCGGACGGTCAGCAGCTTGATCCTGTTGCTCAGTTGTTGGAGCGGATGGTTCTGGTGCTTGTGGCAACTGGCTGCGACCAGGACATGGACGTGGTGAAGAGCGTTTTTCAGCAGTTTCGTGTTGCGCGGGAGAGCCCGGGGCTCTTGCGACTGCTGGCGATGCTGCAAAGCTCGGGGCATTTGCTTTGAACCCTTTTGCGTAGAAAAATGCATCCAGAGCCCTCAGGCCATGGGTTTAGCTTGCAAGCCTCCCAGCGGATGTATGAGCTAAGCCAGCTTGATCTTTTTGGAACTAGCAGGGCTGTCAAGGTACTCTTTGGCACCCGGGGAGAAGAGGTGCTGCGAGTTTGAAGAAGAAGGCAGGGTCAGATTTCTTGACAGATTGTCGGGTATTGACTTGGATGATTCTTGATGCCAGGCAGCTGTGGGAATTGCTGCAAAGAGCACTTTACCACGGACCTGTACTGCAGAATGAATTGCAACACGCCCTTTGGTCGCCTTGGCTCTTGAGTCTGAGCTCGCCGCCGAGCTTAGTGACTCAGGATGTGCCGGCGAGGCCTTTTCAAGACCTGGTCTGGTGGGAAGGAGAACGTGCCGAAATGCCCAGTTGGCGCCCCCAACCAGGCGCCTTTGTTGCCTCAAAATTCCAGCGCACGGAAGGCTCAGGTGGCTTTCTTGTGGCCGTTTTTTTAAAGAATCAAGCCCAACGAGCTCTGAAGGATGTCCACGTGCCCCCCTTTGTGCTAGGCCATCCAGGCATACGACGTCACTAAGCTGGATGATGCTTGGCCAAGACTTGGCCACATTTTGTTGGCCCATCAGCACAGGTCGCCAGGCAGAGGTGGATTGGACATTTTCCAGTTCGTGAGACCTTTTTTCCTTCGCATTCTTTGCGGTGTTTTGCCAAGGAGAAGTTCAAGAATCCGTATTTGGATTGGAAGGGGGAAAAGTTTGAGAAGGACCTGTTCTTGGCTTGCCCCTTGGCTTCCCAGGTGCAGGCTATGGGTCAACATGGCTGTCGCAGGAGTGGCTTGCGGCCCATCCCCTGCCTGAGCCGAAGGCGGAGGCGGCATGAAGGCGCGTGGAAAAAGGATTGCTTGGAGATCTATGCGACAGATCCAGATTCAAAGAGCGGTGGAGACAACATCGGCGCAGACGGCAATGACAACCGGCACACGCATGTGGAATTTCGATCCACGGTGAGGGACACGTGGGATTTGTTTTTGCCTGCTGCAGCATGACTTAAGGGCTCAAGGTTGGCTGTACAAAGAGATGACTTGAAAAGGTGTGCGCAGCATCCGGCTGAAGAATGCATCGTTCAAGCCTCAGCAAAAGCAGTCCCGGTCACAATTTGGGCTGGCTTACCACGAGGTGGGCTTTCCTGCCGCAAAAAGGGCTGTAACCAAAGGGCACGTTGCTCCACCTGCTTGCTTTTGTGAGTTGCAGACAACCAAAGCAAACCACAAGACACCATTTGTCTTCCCAGCGCTGCAGCATGCTTTTTGCGAGGCTTCCGTGGCTTGGGCTTTCTGTGGCTGAGGCCAACGTATGGCCAGGCAGGGGCCGGAAGGAGTCGGAGCCGATGAGCGACCAACCACTGAGCCATTCTGGCAGCTGGTTCGCAGCTGTCATTGATTCAAGAAATTACTTGGCGGACCGGATGCAGAATTCAGAGGCTTTTACATGCTGAGTCTTGTTTGTGTCTGCTGAACGCGCCTTCAAGGTCGCACATTGGTTTCTAAGCCTCGGAAGCACTGCATGCAGGGCATCGGAAGCACTGCATGCAGTGCATTCCCTCTTGTTTTTTGCCATGTGTTACTATAGTTTTGACGTTGATCTACGCCGGCGCCCATGTATTTGCGCGTGGCTGCATCTTAGAGCGATTTGGCCCAAGATGGCATCGAACCCGGCGCTTGCCTGTCTAGACATGACGTCACGGGATGCGTTGCCTGGTGGTCGCTCGCCTGCTGGGGGCTTTGGCGGGAAGCTTGAAGCCGTCGCCGGTCGGCACGTCCAGCGGGGCAGCTACGGCTGCCCCGCAAGAGTTTTGGACATGGCTGATGGAAGTGGGCGTCCTGAACGAGAGCTACGTGAGCTGGATCAATTGCCAAGGGCATCCATGGGACAGGTTTAGGGCATTACTTGTGTCTCACTTGGAGGAAGGCGGTTGGAACTATGGCGAGCCGGAAGCTTGGGTGTCAGCACCTGGGCATTGGACCCTAATCAAGGAGGCAGAGATGATTGTTGAGCTTTGGAGGCAGCGCGACCTCAAAATACAGGTGGGGGATCGTATCAAAATTGGGCCTCTCTTTGGTATTAAGTGGGCCCAACAAGGGATCTGATGTTTGCCAGGTTGAGAACATCTCGCTTGCAGAGCACATGGCCATGCCCAAGCGAGCAGCCACTCGAGCGCCATCTGGGGTGGTGCGAGGAGACACTGTGGCCTGGATCATCGCGGACCATTTGCATCACATGAAGAATCCGGGCCGGGATTGGCTACCCAAAAAGCGGGGTAAGAACGGGGGCGGGCCAAATCCCTCATATCCCCTTTGAAGTGCTCCGGCTGATTTCTGGAAGGGTGTGTGTCAAGGGGACACGGTGTGTTTTCCTTTCGTTTCCCTTTAAACCACCCCAACCAGGAACAAGAAACACGGATCCAAATGTCCCAAGAGGCCTGCGATCTGAATCCTTCGCCGGCAGCTGCCTGCAAGGCGTGCTGGCGGCCCTGGGGGTTTTTGCCCGGGCGCTGCACGTGCTGGGGAAGAGCGAAATTTGGACGGCGGGGTCTGAGGACGATGGGCGCTTCAACCTGTTGAAATCACGGATGAAACCAGCAGACTGTTTCAACTGGCTTTTTTTCCCCCTTCTTTTTCCCAACAGCTGAAAGCTTTGGGGTCTCAGCCCAGATAGGCTCCGGAGCGAGCACTAGAAAGAGCACCGCATGCTGTTGGGGATATCACCTGAGCTTCTTTTTTTTTTTTCCTCGGCATTTAGGGAGAGCCGGGCGGTTGTTTGCTTTTTCGCGAATTTCGCCCCCTTCAAGGACGGGTTTCTGCTCTGGCGAGTGGAGATGGGGTTCCTGGTGGCCGGCATGCTGCTGGGCGAGGGTTTGAGCTTGTTCGATCTCACGGCGGCACCTGGCTGGCCGGGATTGAACACTCGCTTCTTCGAACAGCTCTTGCACCAGCCGGCTGAAGGGGACGGAGGCAGGGTGGCCGGCTTGGAAGATTTCTTGGAAGGGAACGCCCAGAGAGGGTTGTTTGAACACTCGGGCGTGGCTTTGTTGGGGGACCCTTTGCACATCATTGACATCATGTGGATTCAGGTCCACGTCCCCAAAAGTGCCAACCTTGAACTCTTAAGTGTCATAGCCAGCTTGCCATGTTTTAAGCCTTGGCACCAGGGGAGCTGAATTTGCCCAAAGAGACGGCTGTGCTGGGCCTGCCGCGCCGGGTGGGGGATCCAATTCCCGAGAAGATGCCCACAGCGGAGCGGTCGCTCCACCGTCCTTGGCATTGTCATTTTGGCCATGTGCTTTCTTGTATTTTTTCTTTCCTTGGTTTCTTGGTTCTGTTCATGTTCGTTGGGGTCTGCAGTTTTTCTTTTTTCTTCTGTGTTCTGCCCATTTCCATGGGGGACTGTGATGCCCACCATTGACTCCTGGTTCTACCCACAAGTTTATGATAGGTTTCTGAAGGCCGGGCTGGCCAACAAAAAAGCAAACAGCAAATCACCAAACACACAGCGCAACAAAAACACAACAACCACCTCGAAGAATGTATTCTGGTGCTGCCAGCACCGGCTTTTGGGCAACCTGAAAGGTATCATGCGGCCACGGATCCCGCGGGCGCCACCTCCTGGGGCAAGAGCCTGGCGGCGCAGATGGCCGCCAGGGGCCAGGTGGGTAGGAGGGTGGGTGGGTGGGTGGGTGGTCGGTTGGTCGGCTTTGTTCTGGATGGGTCGGTGCTTACTTCTCCCGAAAGGTTGTGTCCAACTGGGGGTTTATGGGCGACTTTCCCAGGGAAACCCCTGAAAATTGATGTGGGATGGCTTCAGCTCTCCATGCCCCAGGTGCTGAGGCTGGCTACGGAGGTGCTCCCACCGGGGCATCCTTTCCCATGGAAGGAGCTGGGCCTGCCTTACCGGGTTCCGGACCGTGAGCAGGCGAGGCGGCTGTTCCTGCCGGGCTGGCGCCGGAAAATACGGATGCTGGCCATCCTCGCGTACCATGGCGCACTTGATCTTGAAATTCCGGAGCTTCTATTGCATCTTTTTGCCCGGTGGTTTCATGCGCGCTTTGTCCTCAGTGGTGCGAACACGCAGCACATCTGTCGCAACACCGAGGGCTCAAGGACGTTGGCCACGCTCTGCCCCGAGCGGCCGGAAGCCCGGCACTTCAAGCGCCCCTTCGAAGGACCGAGCTGGAAGCGGAAGTGGGGCCGCGCGAAGATGTCGGGGAAACGGCGGCATTTGTTGGAAGGGCGGGGCACGATCCATCCCAACGACCCGCGTTTACAGTTTCGGTCCCGCAGCGCGGCCAAAAATCCAGACCTCATCACAGTCAGCGGTTGGATAGACGCCATCCACCTGACGCAACGCTTTCCAGGTGTTCCCTTGGTGATGTATTTCGGCCCCCCTGTCATGCTGGTGGTTGCGGAGGATGTGCTGGAAGGCAACAGGGCGCTGGTAGACGTCTTTTGGCAGCGAGTCAGAGGTCTGACAAAGAAGGCAGTTCTTGGTCAGATGTTTATTGCAGCAGAGTCCCTGTTTCGTGCTGAGCAATTCTTCTGGCAGACTGGGGTCGAGGTTCCGTTTCTTCGTCCCATGTCGACTTGGGTGAATGCTTCCTATACCCCGAAAAACCGACGACATGCTGGGGCAGAAGTCTTGGTCCACAATCGTGGCCGCCTGAAATATGAAACTGCCTTCCTGGAGTCGTTGCAGCTGATGGCAGGAATCAATTTCCCATATACCATCGTGCCGCAAGGTGGCCGGATCATACCTTTCAGAGAGATGGCCAGTTTTCATGCTGTCGTGATCGTCCCCTGGTCCCCAGAGCTTTGCATGTTGAGGCACCTCTTCAAGATGTGGATGCCTTTGCTGGTCCCAGAGCCATCATTACTGCGGAACCTAGTGCATGTGGCCAACATGCGGCTCTTGCCTTATCCCTACAATGCCTTCGACCCCCACAGCAACCGGGCGTATGTGGAATCCATCCATCCTTTCGATCCGTTCCTGGACACCGCAAAGCCCCCTGCAGACGTGCGCGGGGTGAAGGCCCGCGCCTATTGGGCGGAGTACTCGGAGTATCTCTTGCTCCCGGAGCTGCTGCGTTTTGCCTCCTCGGCTGATCTGCTGGCGCGGCTGAACGCCATGGAGGGCCACAAGGTCTCGCAGAGGATGCGAGCCGCATATCGCAACGACATGCAGGAGATGATGAGCTTTTGGCAGGAGCTCTTGCCAGTGATGCTCACAAAAAGACAAGTCTGGACAGATGGTTTTAAGCTTTTCGCATTTGCATCGGCACATGAAAGCATAGAGGGTTGCGTGATCTGATGATTTATTCAATCAAAGGAACTACGCATTTAGAAGCCCAAACACTTTCACGCGAGGGCGTGTTTTGTCCAGCTTTATCATTAGAGGCAAAACCGTGTAGCATCACCTTGGCAGGTGCAGTGCGACAGCATGGGCCGGCAGATGGCGTGAGTTGTAGGTGGGCATGTCAACACACTTGGAGTGTTTGCATGTTAGATCAGGATTTCACATTGCACGTAGATTTGGGGGTCAGGACTGCCGCATGCCAGATGTGGGCTGATCGGCGGCGGGATCCCTGAATGGAATGAGTGAATTGGGTTGGGCTGGGTGTGGACATACACGCATGAATTCCGGTACCCCAAGTTCTGACAAACTGGTTCCAGCTGGCATCGCAGTACGATTCTGCCTGCATCACACAACATTTCTGTCTTCTTCATGCCGCAGTGATAGATCACTCGAGGTTTCCTTATCAGGGTCCCTTAAATCAAATGATCCATTTGGGCCAGTGGGAGGCCCCGTTGAGCAGGTGGTTCTTCAATGGATCCTTCTGCCAGAACTGTCCGCAGTGAGGCTGTCCCGCAGCAAGCTGCCTCAAGCCAGGTACTCTAAGTTGGGGCACCCGGCGTGATGGCCCCAAAGGTTCGGAAGGTGCGGGCACGGCAGAGGACGGAGCTGAAGGATGACGCTTGGACCAAGAGAGGCCATGACTCGAACTTCTTGGACTGCACACAACTGCCGAGAATATGGGTTGGGGAACGGGGCCCCTTTGTTCGATGATTCGAGTTAAACCGTGTTTCAATTCTGAGAGACTGATCCCTTGGCCAAGGAGCAGAAAGCTGAGATCAAAGAGGCCTTTGACCTGTTCGACACAGACGGCACTGGCACCATTGAGGTGTGCAATGGGAAGTGCTGGCAGTGCGGTCGATCAGGTGTCCACAGCCTCCGTGGAATTGCATGGGGTCAATTTCCTGGAGCAGAAGCCGTGGCCTTTGAGCTTACACCCCCCCACACGTACCTCTCATTTCGCCAGCCTGCAGGACCACCCCATCCCACAGACCCTCACCCACGGTGTGGAACCATGAATCTTAGGGCGTCGGCTCGCAACCTAAGCTCTCCAGGGCGAAAGTGGATGGCTGTTTTTTATGTGGGGAAAGCGGGTGACAAAACCAAGCAAGGGGCCCCAATTTCACCCAACTCTATGTTGCCGGCTTTCAGGGGTGAGCTGGAATGACCACAGGCTGAACCATCCAAACTGTGGCTCCTTCTCCAGGCCCAAAATGGCAGAATATGTCTTGTTTCCTCTTTAGGAAAAGCCCTGCTTGAATCCTCCATGCATAGTTTGTAGGTTGGATACCCCACAATCATGAAAGCTGACGATCGGAGAATGTTCAGCAGCTGCACGTTCATCACAAGATCCAGAAAAACTCACATAGCAGCCTTGGCCGTGCCAGCGGGCAATGTTTGAAAGCAAGCAAGCAAACCAGCAGCCAACCAAAAGCAAACCAAAAGCAAACCAAAAGCAAACCAAAGGCAAACCCAAAGCAAACCAGAAGCAAACCAACAGCAAACCTTGGGAAATGCAAGGAAAATCCAAGGGAAATCCAAGGGAACATCAAGGGACGTCCCAGGGCAATTGGTGGACGGTGTCCGGTGTCCTCAACAAAATCCGTGCGCCAGGCCAAGGAGCTGAAGGTGGCTCTTAGGGCGCTTGGCTTTGAGCCCAAGAAGGAGGAGCTCAAAAAGCTGGTGTGCCGCGTTTTGCACTTCAGTCCTTTTGTTATTGGTATTAGTAGTGCCCTTCCAACTAACATGGCACCTGTGGGGAGGTACCTGGAAGATGAATTTACTTTTGTGGAACCCCCTCTGAGTTGCCATGTTAGTAGGAGGGAGGGTATCGGTTTTGTTTTGACTTGTCTTGTTTCGATTTGTCTTGAGTTGTGTCTCTGTGCGTGCGCGCGTGCGTATTTTGAGAGGACCCTTACCCTTGTTATGGTTGGTTTGCAGGGGGACCAAGAGGAAAGCCACCATTCGGCGAGTCCGGGGGCCCCCTATTGTTGCACTTGGGTTTGAAATAGGATATGAAGCCCCGTCGCACAACCAGGGACTTGTTGCAACAAGTCGTCATTTATATGGGTCGGTCTCGGGTAGTTTCCTTGTTGGCTTGCTGTGGTACCAAAGAGAATGGTGTCGCCAACAAAAATGCTACGCCCATTCAAAGTAAAAGGCAGACACGGAATGAAAGCACATGCGGAAGGACGTGTGCTGGGGAGTGGAATGACTTGGAGTTGCCACTTGTTCAAGACATATTGCAGGCGAGATGACACGAGGTTATGTTGGCCGCACCAACATCACCAGCCTCACCTGTACCTAGGGACTCGGGTTGCCTTGGCAGTTGGAGTTGCTTGGGTCTTGGGTTGGCTTGGGGTTGCTCCAGGCTCAGCAACGGGCTGACATCCGGGCTGCTGTTAGGCGGGTTTAGGGTTGACTTTCGCTGATTTGTGTTATGTCTGCTGCTGGTTTTGCGGTGGCTTTAGGCTTGCTTTAGGGTGTGGTTACGTGAGTCTTGGGCTGGTTTAGGATTGGCTTTAGGGGCATTACACATATTAGCTCCAAGGGAACCCCAAACCCACCAAAGTACAACCCCAG